CTCACTCCCTTTCGGTTTCCTTCCTTCTCCCTCTCTGCCCCTCCAGCACGGAAAGCCTGAGACGGATCAGACAGCCGCCCGGAGGGAATGCTGAGTTCCCCGCCCGCTGTATTTTATGAAGGATTTTCACTGTTTTCCCCATGTGTCTGTAGACCCATTTTTTATCGTCGAATTGCATACCTCTCGTTCGTGGTATTAATTGATCTCTGCGTACTAACAAACACAAAGACCTTCGGAAACAAGCGACAAGGGTCGTCTTTTCAAACCCTAAATGTAGCAAAGCGGTTTTCGACTCCAGCACCGACTTGTTTTGCAGATGATTATTATAAGGGGAAGATGACGCAGGCCGAACTGTGAACAACCTGACTGTTCCTCAGATCCTCCGAAACCGCCTTAGCAAACTCCACAGGCTGCACTAAACTCGGAAAACAAGACTGTTTTTTTTTCATTTTTATCTTTAAATTAAAAAAAGAGATTTGTATGTTTTTTATACTTTTTTTTCTGGTCCATTGAGCATCAGGGCATATTGTGGATATTTTTTATTTATCTTTTGTCTGTGTTTTTGTCTGTTTCTGTTTCAGAGTTGAACAAATTAAACTAATTTTGATGATTATACAATTATTAAGCCAGCCTTTGGAGCTCTGCACATTGGGAGTGAGGTTTGGAGTTGTGCACTTGTGTGTGATAGGGGTGAGGTTTGGAGTTGTGCACTTGTGTGTGATAGGGGTGAGGTTTGGAGTTGTGCATGTGTGTTGGGAGTGAGGTTTGGAGTTGTGCACGTGTGTTGAGAGAGGTGTGTGCTTGTGATAGGTGTGAGGTTTGGAGTTGTGTGCGTGTGTGTGATAGCTATGAGGTTTGGAGTTGTGCATGTGTGTTAGGAGAGTTTTGGATGTGTGTGCGTGTGATAGGTGTGAGGTTTGGAGTTGTGTGCGTCTGTGTTTTGTGATTGAGGTTTGGAGTTGTGCGTGTGATAGGTATGAGGTTTGGAGATGTGTACATGTGTTTGTTGGTAGTGAGCTTTGGAGTTGTGGGTGGTGATTGGGAGTGAGGTTTTGTTTCAGAATCTGCAATGTGCAGTAATTCTACGTGCATGAACACCCAGGGTGTCTCTTTATTCAAATGTTGGTATAGAAATTGTCCTCATTTTAATCTGCTGAAGGAAAAGGATGAAGTTGATTTAATTATTTCCTCCCAAACAGCAACAGTTTTACAGCACGTTCATCATATCTGCTGTTTTTTTTCCCATGATCCCTGTATTCAGGGTAGTAGACACAGAAAACAATGAACAGCGACACAGCTTTCAAAGCCCTGCACGCTGGGAGGCCAAGCAGGGAAGTTGGATGCGCTACTGTTTCAGGCAATGGCTTTTCCTGCTGGTGCCGAGTCCTGACCCCTGACCTCTGACCCCTGCGCTACAGGCTCTGGCTTGGCTTTGTGTAGCTTCCTCCCATTGTATCTCTCCCAGTTCTGCTCAGTCAGCAGCAGTGGAGCCCAGTGGAAAATGTTTGGAGACTGTGGAATGTGAGTGTAGCAGCTCATCAGTCATCTCCCATGTTACTGACTCCACTAGGCACTGCGTGCAGACTGTGTCTGTCCTGTGGGCAGCAGATGCACAGCTCCAGTCCCAGGGGCCCACAGAGTCAGTGTGTTGGGTAAAAATCAGGGTTAAATAGCAGAAATAGAAAATTAATTGTGCCCAAACTCCCCCCACCCCATGAGTTTGGCCATGTGAATGATCATCACACAAGCTAAAGGACATGGTTACAAATCAATGGAAAACTGAGGAGGCACTTCTTTACACAAAGAGGTGTGGGAGTCTGGGACAGCTAACCCAGTCATGTTGTAAAAGGCAGTACCTGAAGCACCCTTGTTGTGCAGGAATGGGCTCCCTGGGGCTCCTGTACCAGATCCCTCCTCCTTGGGCGTACGCTTTCCATGACACACTTGTCAGGCCAGAGCAGTACAGATGTTCCACAGGTCTCGGGTTCCTATTCTGAATCTGTGGTCCAGCTGTTGCAGATACAAGTCTGGTCCCTGGACTCCATATCTTGAACCTGAATGGCTGATATGTGATAAATGTCATAGTGACAGCTGATCTAAGCCCTTTGAGAACATGGAGGTGAAAGCGGACTAGTGCCTGAACCTGTTGTATCATTCAGCTCTGGGTTTGTGTGGAGATCCTGTCCTGGTTAGTGGAAACTACAGTGAATGAGTAAACTTTAAAAAGTCGCCATAGACAAAGCAGTGTAATTTAACAAAGAGTTATTGTCTCACTGTAAATTATTTATTTGTGTAGCACATACCCTTGACCAGGGTGTTTTACAATATATACAGCATATATGAAGATTGTAATAGTTTTAATACAAGGATATAGACTACAACAGGAATAAATTATTAAAAATGACTAAGGCCAGCGCACACAGGGAGAACACTACCAGCTAGCCAAGGTGAGCCGATAAGAATTCGGACAGGGGATACAGAGAGTGACGAAGGCAGCCTGCTGGGGTGTGTTCTGTGTCTGCAGGGACTGGGAGCAGCTCGGGAGCCGGGCTGTCCGCGTGCTTCCTGACGGGCCGTTAAGAGGCTGAGTTCCAGAATGACGAGCTCCCGGCCGAGCTCCCGAGAGATCAGGGAATTCATCGAGCCGTTTTATTCCCGGGAGCTTGCGCTGTTCAGGGCAGCCGCCGGCCTGGTTGTCTGAAAAGGTTCTGGTATGGATTTGTTTTGGGCCGGGCTGCGCAAAAGAAACAACAAAGGAGAAAGCTCCAGCACAGGCCGGCCCGGTGAGGGGGCGCCTGCGGGATCGCAGGGAGGGGAGCGAAGGAGCTAACCGGAAGAGGAGCTGGGAGCTGCGGCGCAGGGCGGCGGACGGTTCCGATGCCAACTAGCCTGCCACCTGCCCCGGGCGCCCCCACGGACAGCTCCCCGTGCCTTCCTAAGAGATGACGACCGAGTGGCTGGTGGTGGAGTCACTGGCCTCCCGGTCCTTCCTCCTGGCCCCCGCAGGCTTGCCGTTGGCGTCGTGGGGCTCGGCTTGGGCGGCCTCGCGGGGGATGTAGCGCACCACGGTGTTGATCAGGTCGGTGCGGAAGCTCTTGCTCAGGAAATTGTACAGGATGGGGTTGGCGACGCAGTGGAAGAGGGAGATGCACTCCACGATGCAGTAGGAGAAGTACAGCAGCTCCACCAGGTTGCAGCTGAAGCTGGTGGGCGACAGGTCGTCCAGCATGAGCAGGAACATGACCAGGTGGTAGGGCAGCCAGCAGAGCACGAACACCAGCGAGTAGACGTGCACTATCCAGCAGTCCCGCCGCCCCTCCACGCCGGGCACGGCCTTCACGGCGCGGGCGATGAGGATGTTGAAGGTGACGATGATGGCGCCGGGAATGAGGAACTCGAAGACCAGGCAGATGAGGGTGACGGCCGTGTACCACTCGGCGAAGCTGTGCGAGGGCAGCATGTAGCAGCCGGGCTCGTCCCACTCCAGCAGGTCCACGTGCACGTTCTCGATCAGCGTCAGGAACAGGGCCAGCGCCCACAGCGAGCCGCAGATCAGCGCCCGGCGCCGCCTCTCCGGCGGGCCCCAGCTCTGCGCGGGCCGGGCCAGGGACAGGTAGCGCTCCACCGTCATGTAGGCCAGGAAGAAGGTGCTGCCATACATGTTGACCACAAAGACCAGGTGCGTCACCTTGCAGAGGGTGCGGCCCCAGAGCCACACCCTGTTCAGGATGACCTCCAGCATGTAGAAAGGCAACACCAGCATCACGCACAGGTCCGCCACGCCCACGTTCAGCACGCAGAAGGTCACCCCGCTCCGCGAGTGGCGGCGCCGCCAGTTCACCCACACCACCAGGGCGTTCTCCGCCAGCCCCACCATGAAGAGCAGCAGGTAGAGTAGGAAGAGCACCATGCGCCGTGCGTCCTCGTTCAGCTCCAGCGTGCACTCGTAGAAGAACCAGGGCAGCGAGCCGTTGTGCTCGTGCAGGTGGTCGGAGGAGTTGGGGAAGCTATCCATGCTGGCGGAGACCTGCGGACAGAGAGAGGGGGGGGAGAGTTTTCTTCCTTGGCACTGATAACAGGGCAGTTGGGCTCTGAAAACTCTACAGTGCTCCGGGGAAGACCTAACTTAATACGTCGTGTTCATGGGGAATCGATCTGCAGAAGACAGCGGACAGTCAACGGTGAAACACACGCCAGTGAACACAAGCAGAAACTGCAGGAAAGAGCACTTAACACTGAGAGCAGGAGGATCTTCTTTACACAAAGGGGGGTGGGAGTCCGGAACAAGCTGCCCAGCTGTGTCGCTGCCTCCCTTTAAGGAGCGGCTGCATGAGATCCTTGCTTCATAAAGGCATAAAAGTTACAGATAAGAGGAGGCCTTCCGCCCCTCTGGTTCGTATTGTTGCTAGTAGCTGACCGATCTGAGAATCACGTTTCTGCTGCCTGTGTGTATCACCCTGCACTTGTCTGCCTTGCGCATCATCTGACAGGCGGTTTTCCCCATCCTGAATCTGGAGCAAGTCCTTCGGGAAGAGCAGAGGTCTTACTACAGATTCCGTGCTTTATGGATTCTTCTAAACATTCGATTTCAGAATTCACCCTTTACCTGTACTGTTTTCCATCCCTTGACCAGTGGTGTCAATTAACACATACATTACCATGCAAGTCTGCAGCGTGCAATGTGAGAACTGATCAGATGTGCGAAACTTTATCGGATCCCTAATTTAGCCTTCCGAAGCTCCATCTCTACCATATAATCTTTCCGGTTTAACCCACTAGTGCTGCTTCCTGTTCAAAAACGCTTAAACACAAGCAAGACCTTTCCTGTTGACAGATCGGCCCCTCGAATCCTACTGCCAGACAGATGAGCCTCGAAAAGTTTGAACGTTAACTTTCAGGTGATCAAGAACCAAACAGGCCAGCAGTGCTGTCACAGTTTCTATGCTTGTCACCTGCGCAGGCGTCTGCACACAAACCTCAGCGGCCACACTGAATAGCACAGACATGCAGTTGATTTTAATTCTCACACACACACGTGCACACGTGTTATTATCTCTGAATACTGACATTCCTCAGCATTTACGAGTGTTTTGTAAAATATGGCCAGCGAGCATTATACTCTGTAATGCTGGACGCAGAAACGCCCTCGAGACCATGGGAGGTGAAGTTTACCTTCAGCAATGCAAGATTCACAAACAGGGTTCTCACGGTCTTTGCAGTTTCTAAGAGCAGAGCGGCTCGTACCTGGAGCTGAGGGGCGGGCACTCAGTTCATTGGCGTTGAAGGCGCTGTCGAAGGCTGGACTGCGGACTCCCGATGACCGAAGACGACTCTCCACTGGCTGCGAGCTCTCGGACACTCTGGACTCCCCCAGACGGGAGCAGCATGATAAAACGACGCCCAGCCCCAAACCTCCCCTCCCATGACTACCAGCACAGGACATCCTCCCTCCGAGGGAGGGGGGTGCAAACAGGAAGGCCCTGTGGGGGCCAGATTCCCCCTCTTGACTCGCAGGCCCCAGCACCGGTCCGAGTTACTGCCCGTTCTGAGCATGGACAGCTGCACACTCGGTGGCCCCTGCCAACTCTGTGTGGTGCGTGCCTCTGTGTTCAGGCTGCAGGTTCTGAACGGGCCCGGCTGACAGAGTGTGGCAGGAGGCTGCAGTACGACATGACTGAAGGCGATGCCCAATGTCCAAGACCAAGCTGGGTGAGATTCTCAGATCGGCTGTCTGAAAGCAACCGATCAGGTTAGACAGGCCTGCTGAGGGGTCTGATGTCTTTGGAAAGTGCTG